ATGAATGGTCTTGGAAAGCTTGAAAGTGACTTCACAGGTCTCACAAATTGTAATTAATGCGATAGAAGCAGGGGTGGGATTCAAATTTTTTAACAACTGGTTCTGTGGGTGTGGCTAAGTTGGTGGGTGTGGCTTGGTGGTCATGTTATTGGCTGGGTGTGGCCAACTCAATATCACTCACATCGAGGCACGCATCTCCTCATCTGGCCTCTCATGACTGTGGGGATGCTGCAACAGTCATAAGTGTGAAAAATGGTCATAAGTCACTTTTTTCAGTGCCATTGTAACTTTGAATGGTCATTCCACACAAGCAAAGTACCAGCAAAGGAGGGGAAAAAACTCCAGAGACGTTCCTGAGACAGGAAGTCTAGTCCTGCCAAGAATGTAATAAGGGTTAACAGAGAGGCAGTGTAAGCAACACCAGAATGTTTCCTTCCTGCCTTCCTTACAGGATTAGGCCAGTAATTTCTTCTAACAACTGGTTCTCCGAACTGCTTAGAATGTTAACAACCAGTTCTAGTGAATAGGTGCGAACTGGTAGAATCCCATCTCTGGATAGAAGGCAAAGATTATTTAATAATCACCCAGTGATGTTAAATTTAAACAATTTAATGTACTTTTAATTGATGCATTAAAAAAGCAATTAAATACATTTTCAGTTTTTCTCCTCCTTTGATTGTAGTTTTAGAAACCCTTGGCTTAAAAAATAAAATTACATAAGGTATCTGCACAGGGGAGGGGTTAGAAAAGAAGCTTCCATTTGTCCTGCTCTTGCAGCCGAAGAAAGCTATGTGTAGCAATACAGGTGGACCTCGACTTACGACTGCAATTGAGTCCAGAATTTATGTTGCTAAGCAATAAATTTATTCAGTGAGCTTAGTCCCATTTTATGACTTTTCTTGCCACATTTGTTAAGTGAATCACTGCAGTTGTTAAATTAGTAACATGGTTGTTAATCTGCCTTCCCCATTGACTTTGCATGTCAGAAGGTCACAAAAGATGTTCACACATCACCCCAGCACACTGCAATTGTCATAAATATGAACCAGTTGTTAAGCATCCTAGCGTAAATCACATGCCAATGGAGATGGTGCAGTGGTCATAAGTGTGGAAAAATGGTCGTAAGGTCATTTTTTTTTCAGTGCCATTGTAATTTCAAACAGTTACTAAACAAATGGTTGCAAGTCAAGGATTACCTGTACTACCCAGATGTACTCCTGTAAAATATAGTTTCAGTTCATATATTCAGTATTGAGGTATTAGATGAACATATTTTCCAATTTGAACGTGTATTTCTGTTATGTGGGCATCTTTCTGTGCAATAATTTCCAAACAAATTTAGGTGCAATCTTCGTTCTTAAAGTATGTTTCTCCCAGTGTTATTTGTTCCATTCCATCCATTATCCATGGTAATAATCAGGATATTACAGTCCTCGCTAGCCAACCATAAAGTGACAGGCAATTCTGTTGCTAAGCACTGTGGTTGCTAAGGAAAAAATCATGTTACTGCATTGGACCTATGATATCACTTCTGTTTCCATAATTAAACAAACCACTGTGGTCGTTAAGCGAGACTATGCATGTGACTGCAACTTTCATGTCATTTCTGTGTTCTCCATTAATTCTGTTTGTTGAACGGCGGATGTTAATCTCACAAATGGCAATTATGGGATTGTGGGATCTTGCACAACCATAAATGTAAAGGATTAAGGGGATTAACTTTGATATTCAATGTATAAAAGTATTGCTCTTCTTACTGTTAATTTTATTTCAGGAGGTCTATATTATTCTTCCATAAAACTACAGGTAGCCCTTGACGTACAACCATAACCGACAACAAAATTTCTGTTGCTAAGTGAGACAGTTAAGTGAATTTTGCCCCATTTTACGACCTTTCTTGCCATAGTTCTTAAATGATTCACTGAAGTTGTTGCAGTCACTAAATGAACTGTTCTAAGTTGAGGACTACCTGTATTTGAAGTTGCTCTAGCATAAGAACAAGAGAGGAATATTAACAGCAACAATAATATTCTCTTAGATTAGTAATTGACTAATACTTCATACAGTTTTGCATGGTCAAAATTGTTCTAGGCATACAAAATTTCCCACATACTAAGACCTTGATTATGATCCCAAATCATTTCCTGTTGTGATCTAGATTAACGGTACCATTTATCTTTTGCTTTGTTGACACGATTAAAATTAGCTTCCTAGTCAGTTGACAGTTAAGCAGTGACATCAATTGTCACTGTAAAATATCTTTATCCCTATAAGAAACATAACGAACATACGAATTGATAAAACACCTTTATGCCTATAATAAACACAAAGATTCATCTTCATTTATTTTAGGTGACTGGTATAATTTCCTCTCATTTGTAAATAATAAACCATAGCTAAATATTTTCCTTAGAGTCATCTTTCATTCAGGCTAGTTATACAAAATACATGAGCTCACTGATACAATATTAAACCTTAATGTACTCTATATACAGTACTCCATTCAATCAGACTTTTGTCATGAAAACGTAAAGATGCCTTCAAATCGAGCTGAACTCCAGATGACTATATGGATTTATCGATGTAGTTTTCCTTGCAACAGTATGGCGTTTGGATAATTTTGAAAAAGCTTTTCCATATCAGATTTGATTATTGCTTGGTCATCCAGAATCCTAACTCATTAGACAGGAAAATTGAAAAAAAAAATATGGAAAAAGCAGTGGCATACTATTGACCGGATAAGAACATGGATGTATTTATTTTGTATATTTTACCTTTAATTATAAACATAATTAGTCAGGAAACAATATCAGGCCTGGTTACTATTTGGATGGGAGAATGAATGCCATGCTTGAGGGATACCTGAAACTGCTTCCAGTGCAGAGAAGCGAAATGACTTTCAGAATGGTCTTGGAGAGATTTGACCCTGTTGAGAGAGAGAGAAAACAAAATATTCTGGAATTCTCCAGAGTATCCCATACCAGAATTGCTGAATTTTGCCATCTTGACCTGTCTTAACAAAAACTCACTGCACTTCCAATGACATTCTTCTCTTTATTTACCTCAACTGTTACATATCTCTTCATCTATTTCCTTATACTTTGAAAACATTGTTATTTTTTCTCACCCATCAACCATTCACATCCCTCTGTATGAATTTTTGCCCACTAATAATAATCAACTTTACTTTGATCCAGGACAAATTGATTGGTTACTTTTGCAGATCTGAATACTCTTTGCAACTATATTCATATCCATGTGAAGATGGCTATTTTCTTTCTCTGTTTTTTCAGTATCCAACTTCAACAGCTGTATAATACTATGGGAAAAATTCTGTCCATTGGTGTCTTAAAACTCTCATTATAATAGCCCTGCCAAGCAGATGAGACTAGGAATCAACTCCACAGGAAGGCTAACACTACCTTTACTTAGATTGCTATACTATCAGTTGTTGTAGACGACTTCTGAGAATACTATGGGACAGCCAGGAAAACAAACAAATGAATCATTGAACAAATCTACTCAGAGTTCTCACTTGAGTTTTTGTAGCCTTCCATGTATTTTAGGATCAGGATGTGAAGCTCAAAAATGAGAGGTCCCAAAGGCATGAACATTTTTCAACAAAATTGGGTTTCTGTAGCTAAACTAGCTATACCAACATCTCTGCAAATTTATCTTACTGTCTAGACATGATGAAAATTTTGAGGACAAGGTAAGGGACAAAAAACAACGCATGTACAAATTTGCAAAATTATTTTTCACTTTTATTTATTTTTTCTAAATAAAAATCCACTTTCTGACTTAAACAATTCTGGTCTTGGCAAAGTCACAGAGCTTCTTCCTTCTGTAAAAAAGAGCATTTTTTTCATAACTTTTTGGTGGAGGAGACACATTCTCCAGATGCCAATTTATTACAAATCCCAAAGCCTACTGCACCAGATCCTGAGGTTAAATTTTATATGTAATCCCATGCCACAATGCTTTTCTGATGAAATGCTTGCAATCTGGACCTGTAATCTGGACCTGGACCTTTGTCTAGAAAAACAGAAATCCATATTCTAAAATACCAAATTTAAAGTTATTAACTAGCTTCATTTAACCAAACCAACAGAAAAAACCCAGTAACAATAGAGAACTTACGTATGTATACCTGTTTACTAACAGGTTTCAATCATGGATAACCATGGTTACATTGTGGTTGTCAATACAGTAATTATAATTGACAGTAAGCAATGCATTTCATAAATTGTAAGTATAGTAACATTAGGATTCGATACTGAGGAAGTAGATTATTATGTTCCTCAATGTCTCAGTTGCTAAATACCATGATGTAAAAATGGGAAAGTTCTGCTCTTCTTTTTCATCCTCCGGTGGCCTAGAGGTGGAGCTCTCACCTCACAATCAGGATGCTGTGAGTTTGATCCTAGGTAGAAGCTAATATTTAGAATAGATTCTCCTGCTCGAGCAGGGGATTGGACTAGATGACCTCTAAGGCCCCTTCCAACTCTGGTATTCTATCTATCTACTATGAAAGGCTGGCTTTCTCTACCTGAGTTGATTTCTAAAGGGCTCAGGGTGGTCCCCTCTGAGCAGATGATATATTATATTCTTTTGGAATAAACTTCACTTCTGATTCAAGCAGCTGCCTACGCATTTTAAGGTGATTCCTGGCTTAGAAACAAAGATTTTAAATAGAGGTCCTGTCAATAAAAGTCCCGATGCCTACGAGGACCTTTAACTGATCGCGTCCTTCCCAATTAAGCGCTTCAGAGGAACAGATTTTTAATATCAATGGCCTTCATCATTTTTGCTCAGCATCGCCACGAGGCTTGGGATCCCCCCCCACCCTCCCCCGGTTAAGATTTAACCGGCTCTCCCTACACATCGGGCATCTCGACTCCCGGAGTAAAAACAATCGCAAACTTTGGGAAAAGAAAAAAAGAGGCGGAGTTATATTAGCAGTCGGTAGCCAATGACTGCTCTCCCTCCTTCTTGGGTCCTGCGGAGAGGCAAGATGGCTGCCTCCAGCCCGAGCCGGTGTCTTTTTCCTGTAACAACAGCGCTGCTGTTTCTTTTTTTCAGCCGCTGCAGTTCGGCGGTCGGTCAAGGAGCGCAGGTACGCCGCGAATGGCAAGGGGGACGGCTGGCTGCGCGCCTTTATTTCTACCTTGCTTTTGTTTTGTTTTTTTCTTTTCCTACCGTGGGGTGGATTTGAAACCCAGGACTTGAATTTCCGTTTCCGTGGGCTGGTCTTGGTTGCATTGAGCAAATGCAACCAGGGTGGCCCAAAGGCGACCGCCTTAAAAACAACAGCGGGCCGGGGACTTTTAAAATCTAGCTGTCGCTTTGCAATTTAATGCGGTGTTGCAAATGTCTATCCGGAGTGCTCTGCACCGGCGCGTGGACTCTGCTTTCTCTCTTCCGGGCTGTCATTGCAACCCTGGAGAGCGAGAGAGGAGTGGGCCGGCCTGGCTCTTCGGGGGGGTGGGGGGGGTCGCTCAGGTCGGATGCTCGACCGCCCCCTGACGGCCTTTGTCGGAGACTCGGCTGCTGCTGCTGTTGCTTTCTGTCCTTGCTCTTTTTACCCATGAAATTTCAAAACCCCTGGGATGATCTCGCCACAGCAGAAGCAGTTAGAACGGTTACCTTTCCTAGAAATCGAATTATAACCTCTCTCTCTCTCTCTCTCTCTCTCTCACACACACACACATGGAGCCCAAAATTTCTGTTGCTAAGTGAAACATTTTAAGCGAATTTTGCCCCATTTTACCTTTCTTGCCACAGCTGTTAAATGAATCATGTAGGTTGTTAAGTTAGCAACACGGTTGTTAAGTGAATCTGACTTCTCCATTGACTTTGCTAGTCAGAAGGTCGCAAAACGGGATCACATGATCGTGGGACACTACAACCATCTTAAATATGAGTAGTATCCAATAGTTGATCATGTGACTATGGGGATGTTGCAATGGTTGTAAGTGTGAAAAATGGTCGTAAGTTACTTTTTCAGTGCTGCTGTAACTTTGCACACTCATTAAATAAACTTGTAAGTCAAGGACTACACACACACACACAATCTACATATACTACATATAATATATAATATATAATAAAATAAATTATCCCAGCTGTTGCCTTTCATGCCTGCCTTTTGTGGAGCTTAGCCAGCAGTCCTTCTAGTGGGCTGAGGGAAATGCAAAGTGCATGAAAAATGGCAGCCTGCTGGCATGTAACCCTCATCTTCTGTGTTCTGTTCATATGGGAAGAGAAGGAATGGTTAGGAAAGAAAAAGTTTAAAAAACACTTATGACCATTGCAGCATTCCCATGGTCATGTGATCAAAATTCAGATGTTTGGCAACTGATTCATATTTATGATGGTTGTAGTGTCCTGGGTTCATGTGATCTTTTGTTACTTTCTGATGAGCAAAGTCAGTGGAGATGATAGATTCAGTTAACAACCATGTTACTAACTTAACAACTGCAATGATTCACTTAACCGTAGCAAGAAAGATCATAAAATGGGACAAAACCCACTTGGTAATTGTCTTGTTTAACAACAGAAATTTTGGGCTCACGTTGAGGACTATCTGTATACTGATTTTTGCATTCCATGGAGTTGAATTATCTAGGGCTTTTCTACTTAGTCTTTGCTATAATCTCTCCAGTTTTCACTCATATACATTAGTGGCAATAATACAGGAAAAAAGGCCTCAGTGTGAGTGGAGAGAAAGAGATACAACTCCCCCCACCTCTTCTCAAGGATAACCCAGAGGCAGGATCTTGGTCTTCTCCTCCATCAACATCATCACTTATATCTCATTTTTCATTCAAATGCTCAGGGTGGCATACTTAATGCTGTCCTTCTGTTTGGCTTTGTTTTTTTCTTTATAACAAGAAACCCTGAGGTGGGTTGCATTGAGAGAGACGTGACTATTTCCAGTGAGCTTCTAAAGCCTTAAATACTATGTAGTAGAAGCTCAATCTCACATTCCTTATCCAACATCTTTTAATCACTACTCCTCACTGACTCATTGACCTTTCTCGTTGTGGGAATCTCTCTACAATTCCAGAAAATGCTGCAAAACTGTTTTAACAGAATTCTAACAGATCAACAGACTTGGAAGGGACCTTGTACTCTAGGTCATCTAGTCCAATCCACACCCAAGCAGGAGACCTGAGACCATTTCTGACAAATGAGTCCAGTCTCTTTTTGAAAGCTTCCAGTGATGAAGCTCCCACAACTTCTGAAGGCAAGCTGTTCCATTGATTGTTCTCACTCTCAGAAACTTTCTCCTTATTTCTAGGTTGAATCTCTCCTTGATCAGTTTCCATCCATTATTCTTTGTCTGGCCTTCGGGTGCCTTGGAAAATAGCTTGACCCCTTCCTCTCTGTGGCAGCCCCTCAAATATTTGAACACTGCTATCATGTCTCCCCTGGTCCTTCTCTTCACTAGACTCGCCAAGCCCAGTTCCTGTAACTGTTCTTCCTATGTTTTAGTCTCCAGTCACCTAATCATCTTTGTTGCTCTTCTCTGCACTTTTTCTAGAGTCAACATTTTCTCTGTGGGAGTAGCTGAATAGGAATCAGATTATGCAGCACTTTGTATTATAATGCAGAAAAATACTTTGGAATGTGTGAGTGTACAAATGCATAAAATGAACCAAATGTGTTTTCTCTGAAATCATGGGGCAACTACTGGGGGAGCTACCCTGCAATCTCCAGGAAACATGATGCTTTAAGAAGTTGCAAACAAGCACTCTTTTTAAATTCCAAATCACTACTTGGCCTTCAGATCTAAAGTGCTACAAAACTGTAATCAGTAGGAGTTCTGGTGGCGGTGCCAGAAGTTCTTGGGCCCCCAAGAATAGCCCATGTAACACCACTGTTCCATGAGCTGCATTGGCTGCCAGTTTGCTTCCAGATTCAATTCAAGGTTACCTTTAAAGCCTTCCATGGTATGTGTCCAGACCTCTTGCAAGACTGTCTCATTCCACTGGGATTGGCCAGCAAAGAAGGCATGTCATGGGCCCATCAGTCTGATTATTCTAGCTGGCAGGATCCAGGAGAAGGGCCTTTTCTGTCTTTCACCAGCTCTATGGAACATCTTGCCTGTCCCCTCTCCCCCCTCCCCCCCAGTGTGAGGTTCACCCCAACCCTCCTGATCTTCTGGAAAAGCCTAAAGATCTGGCTCTGCCAGTTAGCTTGGGGCTTCAGTGGGAGAGTATCACAGTGGAGTGGTTGATCAATTAATATCAGATCCTACTTTGCCCCCATCCTATTCCCTTTTAATCGGGTGAATTCTGGATTTTATTCTAACTTATTTATGGCCTTAGTTTATATAGTTTTTATTTTTATGATTGTAAGCTGCCCAGAGTTATCTTGAGGTAAGATGTGTGGCCTATAAAAATTTTTAAGTAAAGAAATAAATCCTTAATTACGTGATTATCTCAAGCAAAACCCTGGAGTTAGGGGGATGTAGTGCCATTTTCCCAATTTTGTATATTCCTTGTGCATGAGTTCCATTTTTTCTTAGATTTCCCTCTCCCCTCCTCCCCATTTCATTTTGCTGCTGGAGAGTGGTGCCAAGTCTCAAAATCTTTGTTTCCAATTTTCTATATATATTATATGTACATGACAATATAAAAATAATGTTGATTTTTGATTTTTAAATGTAACCAAGTTGTTCTGGATCTCATTCAGAAGTCATGCATTCATGCATTTTGTTTCCAATAAAAGCTGGTTGAATCTGTCGAGAAAACCAACAGAGAGACTTGGGGTAATAGAGCACTGATTTATTTGTTGGTCTTTTCAGTTGGATGATGGAGGATTTGCTTGGCTTTCACAGTTATAGCCTTTAGCAGATTTATTTATTTATATTTGTTAAGGCTGTTTAATTGATTTATGTTTTCTTGAAATAATGGTTTTAAAAAGAACGACTAAACATGTACTTGCTTTGTTGTATGTTGCATCAGTCAACTTGTTTCAACAATTCTATTTCAAGGATGGGAACGGATTGAATACACAGATTACAGAACAAACTGGATAATTACATAAAATAGTATTCATTAGACCAGTAGTTCCAATTTATTTGTCACACTGCTGTGATGATAATCCATTTGCCCAAGCTCTGGAGATTGAGAAAACAAAACCTGGCATTTTTTCAGGTCAACTAAATTAATGTTTCCCCCAAGAGTTCTATTTAGATATTTAAGCTGGATGTCAGGAAAAAAAACCCACACAATAAAGCCAATTGTGACTAAGCGGACAGAGTTAGAAGTTATGTGGTATTTTCCTCAAATGACCTAGAATTGACATTGAAAGTCTGTTGAATATTAGATAAATTTTAAGGCTGCAATTAAATACAAGCTTTAAATAATCCAAACCAGCTTTTTCCAATTGCATAGCAGAGAACAGTTGTCTTATTATTTTCAGTAGTGTTCAAATCAGATTGAACAAAGACATTAATCAACCCAATCTTGAAACATTTATGTGGCTGAAAAACAGCTCAAGAACAAAAAATCAAAGAAGAAAACAACCCATAATACTATGATAAACTAAAATTTGAAAACAAAATGCATTTCTTGCTGATTTAGTTCTTATTTGTTCTAAAAGGCAGAGATTGACTAATTTCGAAACAAGCAGGGACAGAAAATTGAATTCATAATTCAATAAACTAATTGTAATAGTAAATCTATTTGAGATATTATGAGTTCCAGGACATAAAACTCTGTATTTCAGTACCTCAAATGTAAATATTTTTTTCGTATCCAGATTCTGGCACCATGGGGAAAATATGCATTAAGTGTTCCATTTAACCAACTTTCAATTTCAGTGATTGATAATGGCTAGTCTAACTAAATCTTTCACATTGATCTAATTATTATTTTTTTAAAAAAATACTTAGCTAAGACTAACTCAAAATTGGCTAATCTGAGGTAAAGAAATAAGGATCAAGTTATCAACAAAAAGGGAAATAATGTATTTCTCTCACATAATTTAGCTAAAAAAAATCACACAAAAATGTAGCGTTGTTGACAAAGAGGTTAAAAAAGTAGAGTCGGGTCATAATCTTTGTTTACCCCCTAAGAAACTGAGATGTTATCAAATAGATGACATTCTGGGAAATTTCACATCACTGTTTGAATTCTTATGCAGAGACTGTAATAAGGATAGCATGGTCCAAGATTGGTAATCAGCTAGGAAGATTTTATTAATTTATAATTCTGTTATTCAAGAAAATAAACGCAGACTATTTATTACAACCATTCATCATAAGCTTAGTATAATTTTTAAAAGTCCCTCATGTTACAATTATGGATTTCTACTGCAATATTTTATAGCATTCCTGAGTACAGTACATTATTTTTGAGAAAGAATGAAAAAATCTTTTATTGTGAAGTATTTGCAAATCATATATTATGGGATACATTTCTTTATGATCATTTGAGGGTTTTGGCTGAGTGGCATTTGATAGTGGGGCAGGAATCTTGTCAAGTATTGTCAGACTTCATACATTTATTTTAATCTGAATGATAAGCTTCTGTTCTGTTAAAGGAGGAATGCATCCAATCCAGTTTGTTTTTAGAGGATTCAAGGAGAAAAATGTCTGATCAGTTGGATCATTCTGGCTTAATTCACATTTTTCCTGGTTTGCCAATTTTGATTCATTGAGGCTAATTTCTGCAATTCCTGTGGTGAAATGAAGTATGCTTTCATTTGGAATAAGTGATTTTTTTAAAATATAGTTTTGTTTGTGCTGTGAAGACTTTCCAATAAATAAAATGATGAAATAGCATTAAGGAATTGTAATTCTTTTTTATATTGCAAGTATTTGCAGTACTGAAATCAAAGTTAAATTTTACTAACTGGGATGTCTGAGTCTTTTTAAGCATTCCTTATGAATTTCTGCTTTTGTTTTGTTCTTTTTTTCCTCTTTGGTTGCCATCTTTGGTCAGCTTTCAAGACAATGGAGAGAATTCTTTGTTGTTCTTTGATATGATCCATGAAAGGCTTTTTATACATGCAGTGCTACCAGATTAAAGATTTATTTAAAACAAAGCAAACTTATATGGAGAAAAAGTTCTTCTAAAAGGGGAGTCATATTTTGGATAAACATACACAGGATTGTTCTGTACAATTTCATAAATATATCAACTGGTACGATATTTATTCTAATTAATGTTTTCAATTAAGTAATAAATAACTTTTGATTGGATAAAAACATATTTAAAATATTTATGGAATTTGTGTTTGTGTGTACGTGATGCTATTTTATTTATTTGTATAATTTATGTATTTTCAGGATCAAGCAGAACAATTTTTTAGAAGTGGACATACAAACAACTGGGCCGTTCTGGTAAGATAACCCAGCCTAATTGAACCTAACTTAACCTAAACAAATATATTGGAATATACCAAATGGTACCACTGAAAAGAAAAGATTGCTTACCTCTACAGTGATAAAATTGCTTTTCATGCAAAGCTAGTGGATTGGATCTGATCCAATCTCATATTTTATATCTATTTACAAAAGAGAATAAAACATAAATAATTCTATTTAAATACCTGTAAAGCATTAGACTCACCAATGCTTTTTTTAAAATAAAACTTTTTCAGATTTTTTCCAGAAAAAGTTATCCTTCATACTCAACTTGACCATGATTTATTAATTTACTTATGCTGTATACTGTAGGAAATATACGCATGTGTGAGAGAAGAAATAATACAGAGTAGGGAGGTCTTTGAAGATTTTACTGCAGGCATTAGTCTTCAGTTGAGAGAGAATGGTTTTGCAGTTTGAAGAATTTGTCTTTAGTGAAATTTCCAAATAAGCTGTAGCTCAGTGGCCCATTTATTCCTGCACAGTCATGTTGTTGTATTAAAGCTGCAGATTTTATTTTTGTTTTCTCTCTCTCTCTCTCTCTCTCTCTCTCTCTCTCTCTCTCTCTCTCTCTCTCTCTCTCTCTCTCTCTCTCTCTCTCTCCACACACACACACACACACACTCTCTCTCCTCTTAATCTGTTTAGGTGTGCACATCTCGATTCTGGTTTAACTATCGCCATGTGGCCAATACTCTCTCGGTTTACAGAAGTGTCAAGAGACTTGGAATTCCTGATAGGTAAGAAGAGCCTTCTAAAATGGTATCAAGTACAAATAAGGTAGTTACTCTGCTAAGGTGATCCTATACTTGTCTAATCTTCCATTTTTTAAAAATATCTATGTATGTTCATTAGACAGGTTCTAAAAGGAAATACGAAAAAAAGAATGAAGTTGAACTATCCTGAATGTTATAGCTTTCTATAATACTATTAATTAGTCATAAATAATTCACAATATTCAAATCAAATACCTTTATTACAGTCTTTGATCAGCTTTTTCAAATATTATAGCCTTTTAAAATATTAAGAATTACTAGTAAACCTTGAGCTAAAAGTAGGCTTCCAGAACCATAGTTAACACAATATAGGTCACACCTTTGCCATCTCTGTTTTCTTATGCTTTTTTTGTATATAGGTGTTTTTCTGTTAATAGCCAAATATATTTTCCTTCTTCAATATAATATTTTGATCAGATTACTTCAGCATTCTTGGTGATAGTTTAACAGATCATAGCATAAGAAATGAGGTATCAGTACATTTCTAAGCTAAAACATTTTGGCTTGATCTTTGATGTTCCAAATCTTAATGAATTTGGCTGGAAAGCACTTAGTCTTAATTAATTCATTTGTGAGGCAGTTAAACAACATATTTGTATTTATGCTTAGGCAATTCTTTTTAAACCACAAATACATTACTACCGGATTAATTGTCTAAAATTTCTCCCGCACTAGCATATTGAAGTAAATTGTTTCATAAGTTAATTAGTTATATGCCTGTTCATTAATTTGATTTTAAAAAATGTTTGATAAGTTAATTAGTTACATGCCTTTTCAAAAATTTGATTTTTATTGACAATTGTAAAAAGTATAGTTCAGGTCTAATCTAACATTGCAGGTATTAGCAGAGAAATATATTCATAGACATAGGCATATATTTAACTATGGATTTGAATGAGAGAGGCATATATTTAACTATGGATTTGAATGAGAGGAAGATTATATATTTTTTAAAAAATAGAAATACACAATTTTTAACACAAGTATATACAGAACACTCATTATCTGGTTAATACTAGAAAATTCATCACAGTTTGTCATTGTTTTTCATAGCCTGAAAAATAGGTGACTTTGTTTATGATGAAGAATTATGAATTCAAACGACTCAAAAATGTAAATGTGACCATGTTGCATAGACATTTTTGCAGACTGAAGAGATGGGATATAAACATAGTGACCATTATTTCTTGAGAAAAAAAAGACAAATCTAGAAAAGGAACAAATCTGAAATAGTTCATAAGGATAAAAAAAGCCTATTTATAACTTTGCTGTACAATAGATAACATTGTTTCTTTACAAAGGAAAGTCCAGGAGCAAAATCAAGAAAGCAATTAATTAATTTAATCTAAAGGACAGCTTTCTGAAATAAAGAACTATAATAAAGGATGTATGTTCACTCTACAAGCGTCTATGGAGATTCTCATTCATCCAGGTCATGGTTGTCCCTTTTTCAAGAGGCAACTGGACTTTCTTGTTGTTATTCCTTGAAGTTGTTTTGCTTCTCATCCAAGAAGTTTTTTCAGTTCTTCAGAGAGGACTGTTCCATTTTAAGTTTCTCTAATTTTAACATTAGAGAAACAAACAAGCACTTCACAAACACATGGCATTAACATAGGAGAACAAACCTATCGAGTCTATCTGCATTTGAAAGACAAAGGTTCCTCTTTTGAAGATAGCATGGACAGAGAGGACCACTGGTTTGAAAGAGGGGTCAAAGAGACCCATCTACATTAAAATTGAACAGTCCTCTCTCTCAACAAACAAGGAGGGTTATGACACCACTTATCTCCTTTGTACAACAGCAGTCCCAAAAAGGTTCCATACCCATTTGTAGTATTCAGGGGATCCTTTAGATACAGATAAACCTCCAACTGGCCTCAATGACTCTTAAAGAGAATGCTAAAAATGCAAGCAATATGAATCCTTCCATTCCCCACTATTCAGTCAGAACTGAAAAAGCTTCTTGGATGAGAAGTGAAACATATTCAGGGAAAAACAAAGGAAGTCCAGCTGCCTTTTGAAAAAACATCTTTGGGACATTTAAATACAAATCAAATAAATAAAAGCCCAGAATTAATAAAAACAGTGTAGACCAAAAGATCTTCCAGGTTTGGTAGCATGTTCCAAAAATTGCCTGAAAACAGGAGAGATATTTTTTCTCCAGGGACATAAATATGAAATGGATCCCCAAGTTTAACTAAATTGTCAAACATTGTAAGTGGCAATATCCAATATTGCTCCTTAATTAGGGATTCCAAAGACTGAGCCCAGTACTTTCTGCTTAAGTTAGATCTGCCAATTGTCCATGGCTTACTCCCTCCATTAGCATCTATACTAATGATAAAGCAATGATGAAGAAACCTGATGAGTAACAATGAGAGAAAACAAAACAAAACAGATTGATTTCCATGGTGAGCCAACCACCTATTCTTTTGAAGTATTATTTTGAAGTATTATTGAGTTTCGTAAATTGCATAGAATTTAATTCATGTGCAAATACATAACATTAGCCTTATTAACTTTTAAGAGCTATGTTTTCATTCCGTGTGAAGTTTTGGCTTAGTCACAGAATGCCTTGCATAGAAAAAAAGATTAAGAAGCTATTAAACAGCCTTTCAAAGTTAGCAGACCATGTATGTTTATTGAGGCTTTGTGTTGCTACTGCACTCAAATTGTGTATTCAAATTCATTTATTTTCTTCCCAATTAGTCATATAGTCTTAATGCTAGCAGATGATATGGCCTGCAATCCAAGAAATCCGGCTCCAGCCACTGTGTTTAGTCACAAAAACATGGAACTTAATGTCTATGGAGATGACGTGGAAGTGGATTACAGAAATTATGAGGTTAATTCTTAAATACATTCTTTATTAAAACGTAGAAGGGTAATTTGGAAGGAGATAACCTTTAAGTCAATTGATTTGATGAGAACTTGCAACTTCTTGGGCCTCAGAGTTGTTCTTCAGCACATTCAAAATGATGTATGAGTTTTAGAACTCCACATGCTCTGATATCAAAATCTTTAACCTACCAAATCTAGTCAAATCATTGTTTAATTAGTGCGATATATCAATAACTCACTGATTGTAGGTAAATTGATATATTTTCCTCATGTTTAATAGTTTAACATAGTGATGATCCTACCTAAAACCTTTTTAGAATAGAATAGAAATAAATAGAAATAGAATATAATTCTTTATTGTCCAGAAATAGAATAGAATTCTTTATTGGCCAGAAATAGAATAGAATTCTTTATTGGCCAAGTGTGATTGGACACACAAGGAATTTGTCTTGGTGCATATGTTCTCAGTATATTCATCAAGAATCATAAAATGCAACACTTAATGATAGTCAAAGGATACTAATAAGCAATCAAACCATACTAGGAAACAATAAAAACAATATAAGTTGTAAAGATACAAGCAAGATGGATATAGCCATAAGTGGGAAGAGGTACTAGTAAGGATGAGAAGAAGAATAGTAATACAATCTTAGTAGTTAATTTGACAGTATTGTGGGAATTAGTTGTTTAGCAGGTTGATGGCATTCGGGAAAAAACTCCTTGTGTGTTGTTGTTCTGATGTACAGAATACATCCTTTTAAAGCAGGTATGCTTTCAAAGCTACCTTTTAAAGCAGGTATGGAAGACAAACCACAAAACTCCAAATTGTATACTGTGACTAAAGACTAAATGTATGAAATGGATTATACTTCTTAGTTGAGAGCTGGAAAGTACAGCTGTGGTCACATGATCTCCCACTTAGCAACCATTTTGCTTAAAGACAAACCTGCCAGTCCCAATTTCAGCTAAATGAGGACTACAGTACCAGTGCAGGAGTTAAGATTTTGAGCATTGTTATTGTCACTAGCATGGTTTTCTAAGTACTTTTGGAACTTTATTTTCAGACCTAGTAGGTGTGAAGTTTGAGATTTCATAGTAGGACTTTTTTTTTTTTGCTAGGCAGATGGATAATTTATGATCAGGTGTTTTTAATCACTGGAATGTTGTTTTCCATAATTGTCATGCAGAATTTAAAGCTTTAAAATGTGATTATGAGCATTTCTCCATGGCAACACACAGTTGTGTTGATGTTAAGAAAATGTTGAAATTGTTTCCAGAAATAAAATAATAAAGTTTGACAGGTGCTCAAAGTACTGAATGTATATTATGGAGGCTGAAATATGATGATTTAACCTGAGCTAATAATACATTAATGAGCTGTAAAGTGCAGTAGTGTATATCTTGTTGGACAGTTCATTTGAAAATAATGCCTTTATGATTAAAGGCAAACTCTAAATAGGATGCTGTCTCATTTAGGTTACTGTGGAAAATTTTCTGAGAGTGTTAACAGGCCGAATCCCAGCAAGTGCACCTCGTTCCAAACGTTTGCTTTCTGATGACAGAAGCAATATTCTCATATACATGACAGGTAATTGTATTTTGTTTGGCATTTCCAACAATAATAATAATAAATAATAATAAATAATAATAATAATAATAATAATAATAATAATACCTAAAGGGCTAGCTCACTTGAATACCCTGATTCTACAAAAATCAACCCTACTTGGAACAGCTTATATCCTCCGACGCTACCTGAACAGTTCCTATAGGGTCCTTGGTTAGGACTCCAGCTGTTGAGCTACCAACCAGCCCCAAAGGCTGTGAATCTCACTAAAGATTAAATAATAATAATAATTAATTAATAATAATAATAATAATAATAATAATAATAATAATAATAATAATA